ACAGCCCTGCAGCGTCTCACAGGGCCACCCCAGGGCCCCTGGCCCTCACACAGCCCTGCAGCGTCTCACAGAGGCCCCCCAGGGCCCCCTGACCCTCACACAGCCCTGCAGCGTCTCACAGAGGCACCCCAGGGCCCCTGGCCCTCACACAGCCCTGCAGCGTCTCACAGAGGCACCCCAGGGCCCCCTGGCCCTCACACAGCCCTGCAGCATTTCACAGAGGCACCCCAGGGCCCCTGACCCTCACACAGCCCTGCAGCATCTCACAGAGGCACCCAAGGGCCCCTGGCCCTCACACAGCCCTCTCACGAGGAGTGCAGACCTATTTCCTCAAGAAGCAGCTTCAGTTCACTCAGTTTATTCCGCCCTCAATGCCTACTGCTTCAATAGCAGATCCAGCTGAAACAACAACAGTTGGTCCAGAAGGAGGGATTTTTCATTTAGTCCCTGTTGTAAACAAGTCATAACCTGGTGAACAACTGAGGTCAATCATCGATCCACAGGCAGCTGCCAGCTCTCATCACACACTTGCCCGTGGACTGATAACCTCCTTACGCTAAGGGTGGGGGGGGGCTGGAGCATGCTGCCAGGTCTTGTTTTTGCAGCTGGCTCCCTGGGAGCTTTCAAGAAGCAGCTGGATGAGATCTCCGGATCAATAAACCACTAGGAACTGAAATGAGCATTATTGATCAAAGGGATCCCTCTCATTTGTAACCTTCTTGCGTTTCTGTAAATTTGCAAATGATAAGCTTGTTGTAAGTTCTTCCACGAAAAAACTGATGCAATCTAAAATAATTTGCTACAGTTCATAGTATTATTTTCATGAGAGAAAATCCTTCAATAGTGCTACAAACACAAAAGACTTTTACTTGGTGCTAATATGTCTGCTATTAAATGACCTCAGATGAATTCATTCATTTGCATTTACTTTATTAATCATAGATCCCTCTGTCACGCAGGATCCCACTCCTCTGCTCTGAACACAGAGCTGCTGCCTTGTGCTCCACCAGGACCAGAACTGGGACAGAGTGCCGGCGATTACTGGCGGGGGTGGGGGGACTTAAAACAGTTCACATTGCACGAGCGGCAGGGGACGTCCAAGGGGGAAATATGGGTCTCTCCACAAAAATATCATCCTGTAGGCAGGAGGAAAACAACAGCTCTGCCTACAGATGTCAAACATTTTCTAATATGAGGTCAGAGCTGGTGAAACACCCCAGCGGCTGTTAGCTGTTTCAAGGACGAATTCCTCTGATGTTGAGGTCCTGCAGGGGCGCTATGTAAATCTAGTTATCCAACAGCATGCACTTACAGTAGATCACAGATCCAGCTGTAAATCTCAAATGCGCCTGCCTGCCTGCCTGCCTGCCACGGCCCTCTGGATTCTGACCCTCAGCAATCAGAAATCGTGAACACGACACACACAGATAAAGCTTTCCATCTGATATCGCTTCCTGTGTTTCACACTGGCTAGTGCACGTTGCGTTGGCATTGTTTCGCACGCGATACTTGCTTGTGTAAATCTGGATGCATCTTGTTCACACCACTGCAAGGGGATGGGGATGGTCATATATAAACAGAGGAATGCTTTCCATTTTATAGTAATCATCTTTAATCCCGATGGACTGATTAGATTAGGGAATTAAGGTCGGATATGCAGGTCACCGAGTATGACCAGGGAAGGTCACTCTGCTTCCTGGTTCCCAGCTGACCGCTGCAGTCAACTGGAGCTCTGTCCAGTGAAGGGCTGTCCAGGCGGCACAACCGAAGCAGCTCTTCCCCCTTGTGGTCCTGGGTCAGAGACCCCAAAAAGACCCCACCGAAAGCGATTGTAACACAAAAAGACCTGCTGCTGTTACGGCTGCAGCTGGTCCTAATTAACCCCTCATTACCCACTTTCCCTAACACACTCACACACCTCCTTCACTATTCAAACCCTCAGCTCAGCCGGTGACATCGCTCTGCATTAGAAATCTATCCTCCACCTGAGCTTTCTACGTCCTCGAACCTCTGGCTACCGAAATACAGACCTTTCTAGAGTCGGACCTTTTGACTACCCTCTCATCTCGCCCCTTTTTGGAATTGACCGTCTCTCTAATCGGACCTCGACCTCCGTCTGGAACTACCGAGCCCCCTGCTGCCTCGCTCCTCTCAGACTCTCCCAGCAACCTGCACCGGGCTCAGACCTTCTCGCTCGTCTACAGCTGTTCCAACAACATGCCTTTGCTCCACAGTTAGGAAGAAATACCAATGGCTGGATTTTATCATTGTAACAAATAGTGTCAATTGCACACTGTTTATATGATCCAAAAACTATTTATACTATACGACTGATACTATCTTGATGATTTTACACCCCTACCCCCCAGAAGAAAATTGCTAGGTCTGGATTGTTAAACCTCTGCCTCTTGAACAAACTGGACACTGGAGAACAACCAAACGTACAGACCCCTGATATCTCAGCTGACACCTGGGAGTCGTGACATCCTGCTCGTGTTGTAATAAACATGCTAATAGAGTCACACGACAGCTTCCTAGAAACAGAGCATCTCCAAATACTGCTGATCAGAGTGAAAGCCCTGAAAGCAATCAAGGAAGGGACTTGTCAACACGTTCAGATCAGCACCGCCAGTGGAAAGACTGGGACTGTTCACAAGACACAAACCTTCCAGAAATTAAACTGCTATACAAAATTCTTGTTGCTTTAGGCACTAAATAAGGGATGATAAAGCTTTTGCTTTTTTTTCACTGCAATAGAACCAAGACTGCTCTCTGATACTAATGGGTGATAATCTTGATAAGGCAGTCTTCATACAAGCCTGGCTTTCAATGATAAAGCTGATGCCTTCCTAAATTCCACACCCTCCATTGAAACCTTCGCCGCTAATGACCATTTCACATGTAAAATTGTGCTCTGGAGTACAGGGACCCTACAAGACTCCCCAGAAGATAAACTCTCGCTCCCCAGACCTTGAACTGACTGCCTGTGCTTAGAGATAGCAGTAGCTAGAGGACAGACGTGTCTATTCCTGTTCGAAGACAAAGCCAGAACCACCAGGACATTTCGAGTGTTTAACTCTAAACACATGTTTAGAGTCTGGCCCGGCAGCCCTGGTTCTGGGGGGCCTGTGTGGGTCTCTGCAGCTTTTCATTTCAACTAAAAAAGTCAATCAGCTCATCACTGACTTACTGGGTCCAATTGAACGGCTTCAGCCAGCTCTTCAGGTGCTGGCGTTTGAAGAGACCTAGAAACCCCGCAGACTCACCAGTTCATCAGAACCAGGGTTGCTGCCCTCTGTTTCAGAAGCTTATTAACAGGTGTAACAGTCCGACAATCCAACACCCAATCTGACTCATGATGGGAAGGAATTCCCAGTCTTTCTGAGAGGCCTGGGTGAGCTCTAGAAAGTCCATGTTTGCAGGAACTCGTGAAGTGGCACAGACTCCCAGCTATAGTGTTTAACAACCGCGTAGCAGGATGACAACGGCTTCTAGGATCACTGTCACCTTTTCAGTAAATCAGTGCCCGCTGCCATCAGGGGGATGAATCAAACGGGACTCCTACTGTACCTGGCGACTGTCGTGCTTGGAGGAGCAGCTGCTGTTGCTCCGTGAGGGGGAAGACATCTTCTGAGACATGGTGCTGCTCTTCTCCTCACAGCTCATAGCTGCTGGGAGAAGGAAGTCGAGGGCGTCCCCTTGCCAGGTGTCAGCGGGATGAGCTCATCAGCGCCGCGCTCCTCATGGCGCGAGCCCTCAGCCGCGGTGGGGAGGCATCGCTCCGCCGCTTTCAACTCCTGTGATCAAGAAGAAGGCAAAAAAATGAGATTCATTTCAAAGTCCGTGCCAGAGGTGCGGCGCGCGAGCCTATTTTTAGCTCAGCAGCACGCAGGGCCTCCTTGTCTGAGGCATGAAGACTGTGCTGCAGATGGTGCTGCCAGCCTTTCATGCGGGAAAGGAGCTGCTTTCACAGTTGTTCTCCTGTCCCAGATAACCTGGGCATCGGAGCCAGTTCAAAGCAGCTTTGCAGCAGAGAGCGTGTTGATGCTTCATGCACTGAGCAGAATCAGGCTCACAGGTTGAAAAGCTCCTGATATGATCTTTGGTGTTGCAGTGATAATGTACAGTACAGTAGCATTCCAGCATTTCCTAACTACAAATCTGACCACACAAAAAAAGGAGCAGTGAGTTCTTACTGCATGACACCAGCCAGTTCTTGTTTTCCAGCAAAGGCAGAAGTGTTTGATTTTGTTGAAATCAATATATGCACCGAGGGCTGCAAATACATACTGTAGTTATCATTTATCAGCTAATGTTAATAATAATTAAGTAATTCTGCACCAGCAGCCTCACCTGGGAGACACACAGGGACCATTCTGCACCAGCAGCCCCACCTGGGAGACACACAGGGACCATTCTGCACCAGCAGCCCCACTTCACAAAGACCAGAGGGAGGAGAGAGAAACTGCTTCATCAACTGAATTAAGGGCAAATGTTTGAAGTCCAGATTAAAAACGATCCCAGAGTGGGAAGTAGCATGGACACCAAGTTTAATACCCAGTCTCATTCAAAATGTGTGCTTTAATGACCAAGCAGACAGGAGCTCAGTTTAATGTCTCTTCCAAAGGACGCCACCTCCTACAGCAATACCACACTATCTAACAATGAATAAAACATCCTTCACCTTTTATGAATAGAAGAAAATAGTTCATTCACTTAAAATCAAGGGATTACATTTAGTATTTGATAAGTTTTGATTATCAAAGAATTACAATGATTAAAGCAGGACCTGCTAATTAAGGAAATGGCATTTCAACGCACTAAACAGCAGTCTTCTTGCTATCAGTCTTTGACTGTTTCTTCCTGACAGAATTCAGAGTGTGAATGATGTGCTACAGAGCACTTACAGTTAGTGATGCAGTACAGAGAACAGAAACAGAGAATTCAACATATACTGTGCTGTAGCTTCAGAGTGCTGTTACAATGCGATAAAGATGCTAGGGTAACTGTAGTTTATTCAGCCCCAGAAATCAGTTTTAATTCAGGATTTGTCCAGGTATCTGAGAGTTTTCTTTGCTGAGAAACAATGAAGATGTTAGGAGGAATTGACTTGTGGCATTCAAAACACAAAGACCATGAGATCAGCTCACACATACTGACCGTGGGGTGTGAAAGAAACATTTAGAACTAAGAACAGGAGACACTTTGTCATACAATATTTTGCAAGTAACAGAAAAAACCACCAGAGCCTCCAAAATAGTGACTCAAGACATTTCCCATCTGACCAAACTACTGGAAACCACATGATGAAGGCAAACTGAATGGCCACTTTGTGACCCTTGTGTTTCTTACAGTGTGCTCTCAATCCTCCAAGATAAACTGCACTGCACTTATTTTTACTGAATACATGCTTGCCAGCAAAATCTCTCCATTCAAACTAAAAAGATAATAGAAATCTGCCTCTTTAAAGAGAGCTTGTCTTAATTACTTTTCATTAAAATGGGTTTTATCAATAATTGCACTTATAATTTTTTATTATATCTTACAGAACAGCTTGACAGATAATTTGTTTCCTTCACTGAAAGAGTAAATCCACACTACTAATTCTAATTGGCTATATTAATCACCGGTCCTGGCCCAACAGTTATTGAAGTACTGTACTTGATTAGATTTTGTACTCTAAGCCTAGTGAAGTTCTGCAGAGAACAATGGCTGATTGTTTGTCATGTATGCAAAGCAATTCATGCTCTGAACTTGTTTTACAGCCAGTTGTCATCTTGCTGGGTTAAGTTTACACCCTGAATGGCTGTTTTGTATCCGTTTTGTATCTCCACATTTTAGCTAAAGCCAGGTGAATCACACATACAGTGGGGCATGTAAAAAGGGACAAGCACTGTGATTTTACAAGGTTATTGATATTTCCAGGTTACTCTGTATGCCAGGACACACTGCAGCCCATGATATTAACTAAACAAATCCCGTCAGTGTTATTCTCAGCAGTAGTTACTGAATAACCTTGAGCTTTAAGACTTATTTGCCATGAGGTTTTGAATCGCTCACTTCTGTCTGCCTTGCGTGATTTTGCTGACCTCTTTAAATAACAGGATCAATGACATGACAGGGGCGTTCTAAAATGCCACCTCATCATACTCATTTCATCGTTGTTTTCAGTTGCGTGTCCGGGGCCAGTGGAGTTCGGAGGAGCTGTGTGCAGTGGGAATCGGGAAGATCCCTGAGAAAGGCTGGCATAAAATTCTCTTCTGGCAGCCTGAGCCAGCTGACCTTTTCCTTATTCACACAAACACAATTCTGCGATGATCTGCTGCCGAAAATATACCTGTTTATGATGCCATTTAATCCTGCTTGATCGGTACTTTGCAGAACAAAAGGAAATCTTTTAGCTTAACGTCTGTGTGCTTGATGTTAATACTGAGGAACAGAAGATGATGATTACATTTGATTTAGGTTTAACTAGGTAAAGCAGCCCTTCATATGAGCTGCTCCTGTACTGTTGACCTTCTAGTTTTGGAAGACACTGATGAATGTGAATGAAAGATTTCTAAATAGCCAGCTTGACTCCCACCCAAGCTACACTATGCTGTGGTTACAGTTACACCACACTCCAGTACTCTCAGCAGCCCTTCTGACCGACTGCTCATGAAATCAATTCAATCAGTTCAAGTGACGGTTCAGGAATAGTCTCCCAGAGACCCGGAGGGCATCTCTCGCCGAACCCAGGAGCGAGAGGCACAGACCTGTGATTGCTCAAGGACAGGAAGCCTCTTGCTGTACAGCCGAGAGGCAGAAACGAGAAGAAAGAAATTACAGAAAAGCAAACATAAACAGATCAAAACCAGCTCTCCTGCTTTCATGAATATGTATGAAACTTAAAAGGAGATACAAAAAATTAAAATCAAACATCTGCGCTTGTTTACTATGCTTCCCTGAGAAAAAAGCTGCTCCTGCTCAGAGTGTTATTTCAATCTTAAAGAGTCTAGATGAGAAGCAATTGTATAAACAACAGTATGAATTGTCAAGTACTCAAGTGATAGAATCCTATTTCCTCGTGGTCTCTTATCAAAAATGTCCAAAATCTCCCTGGGAAAGCAAATTGCGAAGCCGAATGAACAGCCTTATATCCCCCATTTCAATAAAAAGCTACAGGAAACCATCTGGCCAGTCCAACTTGTCTGTGATTTATTCACTTATCTTCCTCTCGCGAGCCACCGCCATTCAGAACCAGCGCCGGGGAGAGCCTGTGCTTCTCCTCTCTCGGACCCACGCTCACACGGGCCTCTTCTCGCTCGGGGGCCTCGAACCAGGGCTTCTGATCGATGCTCTGCTGCTGGACTCCTGACAAGCCCCTGTTCTTGGCGTGTGCTCTGTGGACAGGACTGTCCCAGATCCAAGCGCATTTCAAAAAGGGTGCTGCAGACTCTGCTCACTGAGCTTCCTGCTGCCCCACTGCTGTCAGTCAGGCGGCCCTGCTGAGCTGTTTTTTATCTGAGAGCTACTGTATGAGCACAAGTGCCTGTAACTCCTGGGCCTCAGATAAGCATGCTACATACTGTACTCACAAGGCCCTGGGTGCCCCTTGGCTGCAAGGGTTATTTCTTCATGTTAGCTGTACAAAAGCACTTGTGGCTACACCCAGAAACCACCGTCACAGCACCATCCCTAAGTCCTTTCAAAAGGGGGCTTGATCCAGCACTTCCAGAGCACTCGTTAAGGTTCTGTTTGCATACCACAGTCCTCTTCCTGTTTGACTTGAAAGGCTGATTAAATCAGTCTCTCTCGTAGCTTTCCTGTTGATCAAGTCTCCGGTTCACACAGAGCAGCTCTGCAGACAGGGGCTTTGGTCTCCTCAGTGAAGACGACTACAGAAAGGTCAACAACTGGTGTCTGCGTGCCTGCACAAAGGGAACTACCGCACCCCACGACTTATAACTCAGCCTTACAATTAGGATGAACAAATGTATGGTTCATGTCATCCAAAGAGCGTTTTGTAGCCCAACAAATAAAGAATAGACTTGTTTAGGGTGTTTAATGTGTAACGTGGGCACAGGATTCACAGTGTGACTTGCTAACTACAGCACTGCTATTTCTCTCACTCTCAGCAAGGCTGTCCTGTACACAACACTGTTATATATAGTATATATACACAAATACAGTATATAGTATAAATATATAGGTAGCCAGGTCCCTTTTCAGGCCATAAAGGCCCAGGGGGAATGGGGGGCAAGGGCCACCATTTGTCTTGACCATCCAACACTGGAGGTGGAGGTGATGTGGTCAGCATCACGCTCCGGCCGGCCTGTTACCCCCAGAAGGATTAATCCCCGGTACTCATTTGGAAAGCAGGCTGAGTGGACCTGGGAGTCTTCAGGAAGGAATTAGAGCAAGGTACATCGCTTGCCCCTCCCTTATAAATGTGATGTAATGTTTAGTGCTGCAAAGGGGCGAGAGGCACCCATCTTTAATCATGAGGAATGGAAATCCCAGCATGACTGGTTCCTGCTGAGCAAGGAAAGCACGTTGTGAGGCTTCGGGGGTCCATGGCCCCTCTGAGCACTGATCAGTGTCATGAGCACTGACAGCGTGCTTAAGGACGAGCCCCAGCTGCGCCCTCAAATCTGTGTTCCGGCCTGAGGGTGCTCTGAGCCTGGGCGTGCTGCGGCCTGCGGCACGGCTCTCTCCTGCAGGGCGACTGGCTGTGGAGGCCGCATTGGTACGGAGCTCTTCCTCTCAAAGCATCCCCAAGCTCTTCCTCACTTCACACCCCGCTGGAGGGCAGCCC